TGCACTTCAGCCTGGGCAACAAGAGATGGGTTTCACTATGTTTGCCAGGCTGGTCTTGAACTCCTGACCTTGTGATCTGCCCAGCTTGGCCTCCCAAATTGCTGGGATTACAGGTGTGAGCCACCTCACCTAACAACTTTTTTTTTTTTTTAAACAGTCTTGCTCTGTTACCCAGACAGGAGTGCAGTGGCCCCATCATAGCTCACTGCATCTTCTACCTCCTGGCTCAAGAGATCCTCCCACCTTAGCCTCCTGAGTAGCTGGGACTATAGGTAGACCCCGCCACACCCAGTTAACATTTTTTTGGTACAGTCAGGTTCTGGCGACCAGACTGGTCGCCAACTCCTGGGCTCAAGTGATCTTCCTGCTTTAGCCTCCCAAAGTGCTGGAATTATACCTATAGCATGAACCACTTGGCCTGGCCACTACATGAGACTGTTTACCCTTCAATTGCTGTTGGACACTTAGATGCTTCTGTGCATCACCAGTACTTGGGTACTTGTATGCACCTGTGCTCTTCTAAGGGGGACGCCCACCAAAGCTGTTGCTGGCACAATGTACATGCATGCTCATCTTAACACCATGTCTTAGTCTGTTTGTTCTGCCCTAACAGAGTAGCACAGACCAGGGAATGTGTAATGAACAGAAATCTGGCTGGGCGCGATTACCACATCTGTAATCCCAACACTTTGAGAGGCCAAGGCAGGTGGATCACTTGAAGTCAATAGCTCAAGACCAGCCTGGCCAACATGTTGAAACCCCATCTCTACAAAAAATTCGCCTGACATAGTGGCACATGCTTGTAATCCCAGCTACTGGAGAGGCTGAGGCAGGAGAATCACTTGAACCCAGGATGCAGAGGTTGCAGTGAGCTGAGGTCATACCACTGCACTCCAGGTTGGAAGACAGAGCAAGACTCCCTCTCCAAAAAAAAAAAAAAAGAAAAAAGACAAGAAAAATCTATTGGCTCACAAATCTGAAGACTGAGAAGTCCCAGATGGTGGGGCCTATATCTGGTGAGGGCCTTCCTGCTTCATTGTAACATGGTGGAAGGCATGTCATTTGAGAGAGAAAGGGGTGAATTCATTATTTAAAAGGAACTCATTCCTGTGCGAACTCACTCACTTGCGTGATAATGACATTACTGTGTTCCTGAGAGCAAAGCCCTGGTGACCTAATTACCTCTCTCTCTTTTTTTTTTTTTTTTTTTGAGATGGAGTCTCGCTCACACCAGGCTGGAGTGCAGTGGCACAATCTCGGCTCACTGCAGCCTCCGCCTCCCTGTTCAAGTGATTCTTTTGCCTCAGCCTCCCGAGTAGCTGGAACTACATGAGCGCACCACCATGCCTGGCTAATTTTTGTATTTTTTAGTAGAGATGGGGTTTCACCATGTTGGTCAGGATGGTCTTGATCTCTTGACCTCATGAGCCGCCAGCCTCAGCCTCCCAAAGTGCTGGGATTACAGGCGTGAGTCACCACGCCTGGCCCTAATTACCTCTTGAAGGTCTCGCTTCTAAATTCTATTGCACTGCGGATTACATTTCCAACCCAGGAACTTTGGGGGACACATTTATATCACAGCACATAGTTTTATCAAATGCTTCTCCATAGTAATTGTTCCCGGTTACCACACCCTGGCTATTCAGTGGGGCCATTTCCCCTAGCGTCCCTTTAGCAGCAAGGACAGTTAGGAAGGGGTGGAGCTGACACCGAACCTGTGTCTGTGCTTATTATGTAATTATATACCCTGCTTCAAAGTCCTGCTCTGTTGCCCTGGAGTGCAGTGGCATGATCTCCGCTGACTGCAGCCTCCGCCTTCTGAGTTCAAGTGATTCTCCTGCCTCAGCCTACTGAGTAGCTGGGATTACAGGCACACGCCACCACTCCTGGCTATGTTTTTATTTTTACTAGAGACGCAGTTTCACCATGTTGGCCAGGATGGTCTTGATCTCCCGACCTTGTGATACACCCACCTCAGCCTCCCAAAGTGCTGGGATTACAGGCCTGAGTCACCATTGCTGGCCTTATTTTATTTTATTTTGTTTTATTTGAGACAGAGTCTCGCTCTGTTGCCCAGGTTGGAGTGCAGCGGCGTGATCTCGACTCAGTGCAACCTCTGCCTCCCAGGTTCTAGTAATTCTCCTGTCTCAGCTTCTTGAGTGGCTGGCACTACAAGCATGCACCGCCATGCCTGGCTAATTTTTGTAGTTTTAATAGAAACCGGTTTTCACCATGTTGGCCAGGCTGGTCTCAAACTCCTGATCTCAGGTGATTCACCCACCTCGGCTTCCCAAAGTGCTGGGATTACAGGCATGAGCCACCATGCCCAGGCCCTGCTTTTTCTTCCTTTCTTTCCCTCTCTTTCTTTCTTTCTTTCTCTTTCTTTCTTTCTCTCTCTTCTCTTTCTTTCTTTCCTTTTCTTTCTTTTCTTCTTCTTTCTTTCTTCTTTCTTTCTCTCTCCTTTCTTTCTTCTTCTTTTTCTTTCTTCTTTCTTTCATCTCTTTCTTCTCTTTCTCTCTCTCTCTCTCCCTCCCTCCCTTTTTTTGAGGCTGGGTCTTGCTCTGTCACCTAGGCTGCAGTGCAATGATACAATCTTGGCTTACTGTAACCTCTGCCTCCTGGATTCAAGCGATTCTCCTGCCTCAGCCTCCCAAGTAGCTGGGATTACAGGCGCGCGCCACCATGCCCAGCTAATTTCTGTATTTTTAATAGAGACGGGATAGTTTTGCCACATTGGCCAGGCCGGTCTCAAACTCTTTACCTCAAGTAATCCGCCCACCTCCCTACTTCTCATTGAGGTTTCAGCACAGTCAGGTATCAGCACAGGGAAAGGGCTCAGAGCAGTGTGTGGCAATGGCGCTGCTTGCAGGAAGATGGCAGTAGGAGCAACCCTTTCTACATGCACTCAACACAGCCTAGTTAGGCCCCCGTCAGTGTGTGGGGACTTGCTGTGATCTTAGCTCCAGGTGCTCCTCCAGCTGGAGAGGCAGCCTACGGCTGATCACAGTGCAAGGCCAGATGTCCCCTTCTGTCTGTGAGGGCAGAGACGAGGTCTGTTTCTTGACTGTGTCCCCAGCACTTGTCACAGTGGTGCCTCTGGATCTGTTACCGGTCATTCCCTCAGCCATTAAATATCAAGCACCCTACAGCACACTTTATCCATTGGGGACAAAGTGAAGATAAAGCACCAAAGAAGGCCTGCACTCGTGGGGACTTCCCTTTTGTTTGAGACGGAGTCTCACTATGTCGCTCAGGGTGGAGTGCAGTGACACCATCTCGGCTCACTGCAACTTCCACTTCCCAAGTTCAAGTGATTCTCCTGCCTCAGCCTCCAACTACAGGCGTGCGCCACCATGCCTGGCTAATTTTTTAGTAGAAATGGGGTTTCACCAAAAAGTAAAGAGCACCAACATAAAGAAGAATTTACACCAACAAATGGATAAAGCAGCCAGTCAACATCAAATGGCAGTAACCCTAAATTTAAATTGACTAAATTCCCAATCAAAAGACACAGCCAAAACCCAACGGCATGTTACATCCAGACCTGTTTCACATGCAGGGATACACAAAGACTCAAAACAAAGGGATGGAGAAAGATTTACCAACCAAATTGAGAGCAAAAATAAATAATAAATAAATAAAAAGCAGGAGTTGCAATTCTTGTATCGGATAAAATAGATTTTAAAGCAACAAAGATATAGTGGTAAAAGGATCAATGCAACAACAAGAGCTAACGATCCTAACACCCAGATAGGAGACTTAGATTCAATGAGACAGAAGATTAATAAGGATATCAAGGACTCGAACTCAGATCCAGAACAAGTAAACTTAATAAATATTTATAGAGCTCCCCACTTCAAATACACAAAATATACATTCTTGTCAATACCACATCACACCTACCCATTAGTGTAAATGAAACATTGGCCATTATTAATACACAATTTTTTTCAAAATAAAGCAATATTTCCATTTACTCTCCCTCTTTCTCTTCCTCTTTCTTCCTCTCCTTATTATTTTTTTTTTCTTTCCTTCTCTCAAAAAAAAAGAAATCAACTTGTAAACCTCTAGATCCAGGTCGGCAATGTCTCTTTCATTGCTTGATTTCCTTTCTTCTCTTCCCTCCCTCCCTCCCTCCCTCCCTCCCCGCTTCCTCCCTTCCTTCCTTCATCCCTTCCTTCCTCCCTACCGTCCTTCTTCCCTTCCTTCCTGCCTTCCTCCCCCACCCAAAAAAAAAAAAAAAAAGAAAAAGGAAATGGGGTTTCACCATACTGGACAGGCTGGTCTCAAACTCCTGACCTCGTGATCTGCCCTCTTTGGCCTCCCAAAGTGCTGGGATTACAAGTGTGAGCCCCACACCTGGCCCACTTTTTATTTTACTTTTGAGACAGGGTCTCACCCTGTCACCCAAGCTGGAGTGCTCGGGCTTGAGCTTAGCTCACTGCAGCCTCCAACTCCTGGGCTCAAACAGTCCTGCCTCAGCCTCCCAAAGTGCTGGGATTACAGGCCTGAGCCACCAAGCCTGACCAAACTTCACTATTTTTTTTCTTTTTCTTTGACACGGTGTCACTCTGTCACCTAGCCTGGAGTGCAGTGGCTCAGTCAGGGTTCACTGCAGCCTCAGCCTCCTGAGTAGCTGGGACTACAGACGCACACCACCACACCTGGCTAATTGTTTTTGTATTTTTGTAGACTCAGGGGTTTCTCGGTGTTGCCCAGGCTGGTCTTCAACTCATGGGCTCAAGCAATCCACCCACCTCGGCCTCTCAAAGTGCTGAGATTATAGGTGTGAGCGATGGCACCCAGCTGAGCTTCAGTTTTACTGAGAATGGGGATGATGAAGTCTGGGAGCATCCCGGTCTGGGGGAGTCCAGGCCCCTCAGCCTATCTTCTGATGCAGCCACAACTGCCCGGGCCACCCCTACCACCCACTCACAGAGCCTCTGATTAGAAAGCCTCTCCAAGGCCATGCTGTAAAGAAGGCAAGCAGAAAGAGTATCCACTCTTCCAATCTGATTTTATTGAAAAGGAAACATACAAAAATCATGTACAAAAAAAATTAACCAAACATGTACAGAAAATTCATTCCGGTATCTACAGCAGCGCATATACAGTATCTTACAGGCTGGCCATCCCTCCCCGCTCCCAGACTCCTCCCTCTTCCGAGATTTCCCCCCCTCCCTGACTCCCCATCTTCCCCCAGCGCTTGGCCCTGGGGACTAAGGCTGGGGCGGCTTCAGCCAAAATCTCCCACCCCCCAAATGAATGCCAGTGGTCACACGTGCTCTTTCTAAACCTATGCAATGGGACTGATGGGGCGGGGGGTGGGTTGCGGGCAGAGCACAGGATTCACAGTCTGGGACCCTCCTGGCCACCCCCCCCCCCACCCCGATGAAGGTGAGGCAGGCATGCCCTCACCTGCCGGCTGGCTCAGGGAAGATGGCTGGGCGCCGGGCTGGAGCAACCGGCAGACGCGCCCCACTCTCTGGCTCCAGGAGGCTAGTGGTCACGTTTGGCTCATTTGCTCTTCACGGGCCCCCTCCCAGGAGGAGGGGGGGAAGCACCAGGGGCCTGAGGCCAGGCCCAGAGTGAAGGAGCACTGAGAGGAGAGTCCCCCAGTGTCACCCCTGCAGCTGGAACGGGCACCAGCACAGCAGCCTTTCCTGAGATGGTGGTGGGCAGCAGAGGCGGGCGGCTCAGTCCCCACCCCCTCGGTCACCGCCGCCTTCCGATGCTGAGTCCGTCAGCCCTCCCTTCCCTGGCATCTGGGCCAGGGACCCAGGAGTCCGCATCTCCGTCAGTGCACCCAGGCTGGGCTGGAGCTGGAGTGGCTGCCCCCGCCAGCCCCTGGGACAGGCAGGGCTGGGAGTCCAGTATGCTACATGGTGCAGAGAAAGTCCCCCGCGCTGGCCAGGGTGTCAGGAGATGGGAGGGGCCTGCCCCCCAAGTCCCTGACGTCCACCGGGCGGGTGCAGGCACCTAATTGGGCTCCATCTCCGGGGCTCTGTGGCCCCTGGGAAAGGGCAGGAGTCCCATGATGAGATTGTACAGGACCCTCCAGGGCGAGGGGCGGTGCTGCGGCTGCTCCTCTTGTCTCTGGGGAAAAGAGAGAGAAGGGACAGTTAGCAGGGGCCTGAATGTTGTGACAGGAGTGGGGGGCAGTCAGCTCCAGGGGAAGTGAGGCAACAGTCTTGCCCACCCTATTCCAGCTCTTCTGCCTACCTGGGCTAACCTCCACACCTCAGAGGTCACATCCTCATCCAGGACATGAGACCAGGAGGCAGATGACAGAGACGAAATACCCTCAGCAGAGAGCCGAGCACCAATCGAGTGCCCAGCACATTAGCTGTGACCGCCCCGTCCGTGTTGTACATTTGGGAAAGGCATCCCACAAGGGGCTAAGGATGAACTGCAACCTATCCTGCCCTTCCCTCCAGGGCAGCGAGAGGAGGAGAAAGGAGCAGGGTGCCCCTGAGAACTGGGAAGAGTTCAGCCCCCACTGCAGAGGCTCTCTTTTCTTTTTTTGAGATGGAATCTCGCTCTGTTATATAGGAGTGCAGTGGCACAATCTCGGCTCACTGTAAACTCCGCCTCCCAGGTTCAAGCAATTCTCCTGCCTCAGCCTCTGTAGTAGCTGCAATTACAGGCGTCCGCCACCCTGCCCAGGTAATTTTTGTATTTTTAGTAGAGACAGGGTTTTACCATGTTGGCCAGGCTGGTCTCAAACTCCTGACCTCATGATCCGCCTGCCTCGACCTCCCAAAGTGCTGAGATTACAGGCGTGAGCCACCGCGCCGGCCAGAGGCTTCAACAGAAGCACTTCTAGGCAACACTGAGTGAAACCCCTGCCCTCTCTCCAGTGGCAGGATGAAGACAAGGTGGTCTCTAGGACCCTCTCAGCTTCAAAATGCTAGGAACTGGGAAGGCAGGAAGCTAAGTCCCAGGAAAGCCTCCTGACTGGTAAAAATTAAGGGCAATACTAAAAAGTGTACAGAGGCCAGGTGCTGTGGCTTACACCTATAATCCCAGCACTTTGAGAGGTCAAGGTGGGAGGATCACCTAAGCTCAGTAGTTCGAGACCAGTCTGGCCAACGTGGTAGAACCCTGTCTCTATTAAAAATACAAAAATGACCAGGTACGGTGGCTCACGCCTGTAGTCCCAGCACTTCGAGGAGCTGAGACAGGTGGATCACTTGATGTCAGGAGTTCAAGACCAGCCTGGCCAACATGGTAAAACCTCATCTCTACTAAAAATATAAAACTTAGCTGGGCATGGTGGCGCATGCCAGTAATCCCAGCCATTTGGGTGGCTGAGGCAGGAGAATTGCTTGGACCTGGGAGGCGGAGGTTGTAGTGAGCCAAGATCATGCCCCTGCACTCCAGCCTGGGTGACAGAGTAACACGATGTCTCCAAAAAAAAAAAAAAAAGGCCGGGTGAGGTGTCTCATGCCTGTAATCCCAGTGCCAGGGCTTTGGGAGGCCGAGGCAGGCAGAATCAACTGAGGTCAGGAGTTCAAGACCAGCTTGGCCAATATGGTGAAACTCTGTCTTTACTAAAACTACAAAAATTAACTGGGTGTGGTGGTGGGCACCTGTAATCCTAGCTACTCGGGAGGCCGAGGCAGCAGAATTGCTTGAACCCAGGAGGCGGAGGTTGCAGTGAGCCAAGATTGAGCCACTGCACTCCCGCCTGGGCAACAGACTCTGTCTCAAAAAAAAAAAAAGCCCAGAGAGAGAGCTCTGCCACTCCCTATAGCTCGACAGCCAGGCTCTGTGCTAAGCGGGGACCACCTAACCTTCTCCCCTTCAGGTGCAGGGTAAGGAGAAACTCACTTTACAGACGGTTACATGATCCTGATCATCCTCATGGTTAACCTGGCAGTGAGTCGCCTGGTACCAGCCCAGCCTCCTCAACACTCCCTAGCAACTCTTGGGGCCAGGAGATGGAGGCAAAGGGTACACACCATATTGGCATAAGTCACAAAGCCTACCACTGTCACACTGCTGTGGGTGCTACATGGTGAGCAAGCTAGCATTCACCTAGTGAGGTGGACAGTGAATAGACCACCTAGGTATCTACTCTAGAGATAGAAGAGTGCACCTGGAAATATGCATGATTGGGACAGGAAAAAAGCCAATAAATAATGGTCATGTGCAGTGGCTCACGCCTGTAATCCCAGCAGTTTGGGAGGCCGAGGTGGGTGGATCACTTGTGGTTGGGAGTTTGGGATCAGCCTGGTCAACATGGTGAAATGCTGTCTCTACTAAAAATGCAAAAAGTTAGCTGGGCATGGTGGTGCGTGCCTGTAATCCCAGCTACTCAGGAGGCTGAGGCGGGAGAATTGCTTGAACCCAGGAGGCAGAGGTGGCGGTGAGCCAAGATCGAGCCATTGCACTCCAGCCTGGGTAACAAGAGCGAAACTCTGTCTCAAACACACACACACACACACACACACACACACACACACACACACACACACTTTAGCCAGGTGGGGTGGCAGGCACCTGTAATCCAAGCTACCTAGCAGGCTGAGGCAGGAGAATCGCTTGAATCTGGAAGGTGGAGGTTGCAATGAGCTGAGACAATGCCATTGCACTCCAGCCTGGGCAACAAGAGCAAAACTCTATCTCAAAAAAAAAGCCAATAAATAAAATCTGAAATATATTTTAAAGTAGGCTGGGTGAGGTAGCTCAGGCCCATAATCCCAGCACTTTGGGAGGTTGAGGCAGGAGGATCACTTGAGGCCAGGAGTTTGAGACCAGCCTAGGTAACACAGCAAGACCAGATCGCTACAAAAAATAAAAATTAGCCAGGTATGGTGGGCCTGCCTGTGATCCCAGCTAGTTGGGAGGCTGAGGTGGGAGGATACCTTAAACCCAGGAGTTGGGCCGGGCGTGGTGGCTCAAGCCTGTAATCCTAGCACTTTGGGAGGCCGAGGCGGGTGGATCACGAGGTCAAGAGATCGAGACCATCCTGGTCAACATGGTAAAACAACGTCTCTACTAAAAATACAAAAAATTAGCAGGGCACGTGGTGCGCGCCTGTAATCCCAGCTACTCAGGAGGCTGAGGCAGGAGAATTGCCTGAACCTAGGAGGCGGAGGTTGCAGTGAGCAGAGATCGTGCCATTGCACTCCAGCCTGGGTAACAAAAGTTAAACTCCATCTCAAAAAAAAAAAAAAAAAAAAACCACCCAGGAGTTGGAGGCTGTAAGGAGCTGTGATGGCACCAGTGCACTCCAACGTGGGAGACAGAGTGAGACCCTGTCTCTAAACATAAAAAAATACATTGCTATCCTAAATATCCATCAGTGAGAAAATAAAGATACTATGTTTATCCCACAGAATACTATGTAGCCATGAAAACAGCTTTTTTTGTTTTGAGACAGAGTCTCATTCTGTTACAGGGGCTGGAGTGCAGTAGCCCGATCTCTCACTGCAACCTCCACCTCCTGGGTTCAAGTGATTCTCCTGCCTCAGTCTTGCAAGTAGCTGGGATTACAGGCATGTGCCGCCACGCCCAGCTCATTTTCCTATTTTTAGTAGAGATGGTGGGTGTTTCACCATGTTGGCCAGGCTGTTCTTGAACTGCCCACCCCAAGTGATCCCCTGCCTTGGCCTCCCAAAAAACTGGGATTACAGGGGTGGGCCACTGCAGCCGGCCAAAAATGGCTGGTTTTTTGTTTCTTTTTTTTTTGATGGTCTTGCTCTGTCACCCAGGCTGGACTTCAGTGGCCCTATCACAGCTCACTGCAGCCTCGACTTCCCTTGCTCAAGGGACTCTTTCACCTCAGCCTACCAAGTAGCTGGGACTACAGGCCCACGCCACCACACCCGGCTTTTTTTTTTTTTTTTAAGAGATGGGGTTTTACCATATTGGTAAGGCTGTTCTTGAACTGACGTGCTCCGCCCGCCTCCGCGTCCCAAAGTGCTGAGATTACAGGCGTGAGCCAGCGCGCCCCACATTTTTGTATTTTTTTTTTTTTATAGTGACGGGGGTCTCATTATGTTGCCAGGCTGGTCTGGAACTCCTGGGCTCAAGCATCCTTCCATCTCCGCTTCCCAAAGTGCTGGGATTACAGGCGTGAGCCACCGAGCCTGGCTAAACATGGATGGATGGAAGCTCTTTTGCCCATAGGATGAATCTGAAGCCTAATATTGTGAGAAAAAGGAATTCTGGGGAGGAACAAACACTATGTCCTGGACGCTAAGCTAAGAATGCCTCATGATCCTAAGCACTGTTTCTGGCCTGGTAAATACGGAGTAAAAGCAGCAACACCTGCAGGGGATGAGCGCGGGCAACTTAAGAGGTTTCCCTTGGATGCAAGGAGGGGGAAGAGATGGGAGAGTGAGGAGCTTCACCACATTGCGTTTCTGCGGTTTTGTTTGGCTTTTAATAAGCAAGCAATGGGGGTGTAATGTTCAGCCTGAACAGAACAGGCTGGTGGGCGCACGAGGTTTATGCTTTCCCATTCTCTGCTGTGGGCCTCGGATATTTGTTTTAAAAAAATCGGGGCTGTGCCAGGGGCTGGGGGGCGGGGCCTCCCGCAGGGCGGAGCTCCGGGCCCTCCCTCCCCTCCCCCGGCCGCCCCTGCGGTCCCCGTCCCGCCCCGGCGCCCGGGAAGCTGTGTGGCGCTGCGGGCCGCGCGGGAGGGACGGCAGGGGGCGGGCGCGGCGCGGCTGCTGACTCACCGGCTATAAATAGCCCGGGATATATGAGCCGCGCAGCCCAGCGCCGCCCTCAGTCCCCGCGGGCCGCGGGCCACCGGCGCGCCGCTGCTCTCCGCGGCGGCCTGGCTTTCGGGCCCCGGCCCTGGCCCTGGCCCTGGCTCGGCTCCGGCTATGCCAGCCGCGTCGCTGGGGCCCCGGGGCGGCTCTGCGGGGAGCGCGATTCCCCGCCATCCACTCACCCCCACCTGCCTGTCCCCGGCGCGACCCAGCCGCGCAGGGCAGCAGCTGCCGCACATCTGGCGGGGGCGCCTGCCGCCCCCTCCTCCTGCGGGAAGTCCCACCTGCCGTCTACCCCGCCCCCAGCACTCACCCGCCGCTCGTACAGCGCGTTGAGGTCGTCCGCCATCCGTCGCAGCTGGGCCCCGATCTCCCGGGCCCACTGCTCCTCCTCCCCGCGGACTCCGGGGGCCGCCTGGGTGGGACCGCCCGCCAGGGCCCCTGGGGCGCTGGGCACGGGCGACTCAGGTGCTGCTCCGCCAGCGAGAGCGAGGGCTGAGGACCTTGGAGAGGCAGAAGGGCGCGGTCAGCACCCACCACCCCTCCAGGCCTAGAGGTGTCCCGGGCTGCTTCCCTGTTTCCCAGCCACTGCTCCCCGCCTCATTTCTAGCGATTCCTTCTTCTCCTCTTAGAGTCAATTTCGCAACTTCTCCTCCCCAGGCACCAGAAAGCAGGAAGGACCTGGGGACGCCGCTCTGGGGTCACCTGTTTGGCCAGCTACGTCCCCCACGGTGCATGTCAGTGTGGAAGGTAGGCAGCCAGAGAGGTGACCCCAGGGGGTGGTCAGGCCTAAGGACCTCTATTCCCCCACGGGGCACGTTTTACCTGTTTCATGTGACAGGCAGGGAAACTGAGGCCCGCCCTTAGGGAGTATCCCAAGGTCACACAGGGATACAGCGACTGACCCCACCCAGACCACAAGCCTCAGGTCTCCAGCCCTCTGGAGTCCAACCACAGGGAAGCCACACCTCCGGATGTGGCAGAGGCCTGGAGACCAGAAGGCCAGAGACTGGCAGCTTCAGAGCGCGGGCCTGGGGGTGCTGGGACTCGGGAGAAGCTTTCCTGCCCCACCCACTTCTAAGCGCTCTAGGAGGCTCTGGCCCTCCGGTCCCACCAGGTCCGACCTGAGGATTCCCTAAGGCCCACAACCAGGGCCTCAGTTTCCAGTCTGTGACCCTGGCCTTGAAATCGGTGTCCCTCTCCAGGGCTTCCAGGAACTGAGCTAGGGAAGTTTTTCTCTTTCCTTTCTACCCTCGGGCCGCAGGGACAGGATGGGGGATGGGAAATCAGGACACACTTTCCCGGGCTACAGCGCCAGCCGGCAGGAATGGGGCTCCCCGGGCATCACAGGGTTAACAGCCCATCAGGCAGGGGACCTTTAACCCTTCCCTCCCCAAGACTCCCCCCTCCCCGAGGGGACTTTCCCAACACAATGGCCCCGGCTCCCTCTCTTTCCTCCGCTGGGACTGCGGAGAGGGCCAGTTCTGGCCAAAGAGATGCAAATAAAGGCAAAAGGCCCCTCGACCCCCTCCCCAGAGCCCGGAGGTGACCGTCCTCCCGCTCAGCCCACACTCCCTCCAACAAGAATCATTCAGGGGGGTCTAGGGGACTCAGACTGGGGGAGGGAGCTGGGCTGCAGCTGTTGCCCGAGGCCCGGAAGAGACAGTGGGCTGCAATTCGGGGACTGCAGTCAGATTCCAGGAGGGACTTCCCACTTGACCTCCCCCTCCACCCCCAGCCTCCGTCTTCCTGCTTCTTGCAACACAAAGACCACATTGGCCACACCCCTCCCAGTGGCCCGGCTAGGCTCGCCACCTCCCCCCGTCCTCTCCTACTTTCCAGTTCCTCCGAACCTCTGGGCCCTCTCTTCCAGGCTGCTAGCACCCGGGGGCGGGGCGGGCACTCACCGTCCGGGCGCGGGCCTCGGGGGCGGCTGCGGGGGCCCCCAGGCCAGCGGGGGCCCCCCAGGGCGGCGGTGACGGCGGGTGGGGCGGCGGGGGCGCAGAGGTAGGCAGCGGGCAGCAAGGCGGGGGCGGCGGGGGTGGCGGGCAGGCCGGACTCGCAGAGGCCGCAGGACACGGCCGAGGGCACCAGGCGGCCAAGCGGGAAGGGGCGCGGGCCGTCGCGGGCCAAGCCCTCTACGGGCTCCGGGGAGCTGCCCTCCTGGCGTGCGCGGGCCATGGCGCTCCCTGGGGCCTGCGGGACACGAGAGGAGGATCAGGTCAGCAGGGAAATGCCGGGCCCACTGAACCTCCAGCCTCCCCAGGGTCAGGACCCAGACAGAGAAGAGCGGAGGTGTGTGTGCCGGCGGAGGGGGTGATGGCCCCACAGAGACACGCCCAACCAGGGGACGACACCACCGGGTCCCCGCTGGCCTGGGCAGCCTCCTGGGCACACCGTGATGGGCACACAGGGGCCCAGGACGGCTCTCTCAGCAAGGACCGGGCTCACACGGGACGGATGGAGGGGTCTGGCAGGTGTGTGTATGAGAGCTGTGACAGTCCCACAGCACAAACTCACTCCACTGGGACTCACAGCGGGGGCTAGTGGGCACAACTTTCCCAACACAGCTACGGGCACGCTGGGAGGGCAGCGAGGCACAGTGAGGCCCCCAGAGCACACACACAAGGACTCACACGGGACTGGCCAGCCTGACCACCCACCCTGCTTCCCACCTGCAGGCAAACACTGAGATGGCCCCAGCCTCAGACATCACCCCTCAGTCCACACGAGATACACCACACACACACACCCCGACCAAAGCAGGCACATGCAGACAATCACAAGCACTCTGTACACAGCGCACACGGCTGGCAAAACCCATCCCACACACACATCCAAACTATCAAAGTCTCACACACTGACCCACTGTTGATATGCCCAGGGGCACACGCAAACACAATGCAGCCATTGCAAACACACACACAGACACACACACAGACAAGCTAGGCACTGCCTCAGTTCCCAAACATGCCCCTCTCCACACACACAGACACACACACATTCCAGAGATAAGACCTGCACACCTCGGGACTCACATATCAACACAAAACACACACTCACAGACACACACATCAACACCCCCAAAACACACCCACATGTCACCAACTCAGGACACACATAAATCAGGCACACACAGACACATGCTATCAGCCCCCAACACATCACCAGACACCAGGCGGGCTACGGCCAGCAGACACCACCACCCCCGCCTTCATGGAACCCCCAAACACCATCACCAACTGTCAACACCACACTCACACACAGACACACACACACACTCTACAGCTAACTCAATCCCACACAGCCCAGCAGCACACACACCTAGCGCACCCACGGAGAACACTGGTCTCACGTGACTGACATAAACACTACACACACGCAGCCCACATGACACACATGAGCCAGCCGATCGCAGTGACAAGCCCCTCAGACCCAACACACACACAGAGGCTCAGACACAACCACATCCAGAGGCTGCCAGCAACACCCACCGTCTACACTGCATAGACCCCACAGATCCCGGGTCCTCAATTACCAGACGCTGATGCCAGACACACAAGCCAAACCCAGACTGAGACAAGACAGCCCCCCCACCCCCCCCCCACACAAACACACACACCTGACAACTCACACAGACACCTGGACAGAAAACAAACATCTGCATTTAGCAGGCACAACATCACAAACGCTGGGCAAAGACACATGCCCCGGAGATACAGAGAGCCAGCCACAGCCAAGACACAAGCACACACACCGCACGGTGTGTCGGGCAAGACACACATAAACACACAAACAGCGCACTCTAGCAACACACACACACTCCAACCTCCACACCCCAGCGCGCGCTGGCAACAGACCCCCAGTCTCACCCCCGAAGAGCACATACAGACAACTCTCACCGAGAACACACACAGGTCCACCCACTCCACGGGCAGGGCACCCTCAGACAGAATCCTACACAAACAGGCGTGGGGACTCACGCAGACACCCCGACGGGTCAGAAACCCCAACATTCCTCCGGATCGACACCTCCACTCCCTGCAGAGCCCAGCACAAACTCGTAGCCAGACACGCGCACACACCCAGGCGAGACACCTGCAGATCCACAACCCCGCACACGCGCGCTCCCACGGCGGTCCCAGACGCCCCACTCCGCTGTCACAGCCACCCCCACCGCCGCCACGTGCGCCCGCCCCGCCCGCCAGGCGAGCGCGGGGCCAATAACCGGCTGTTGCTGGGGCGCAGCCCCCGCCCGCAGGAGCCGCAGACTCCACGGCCCGCGAGCCGCCCCCTGTCGCCGCCCCCAGCGGGCGCGCGCCCTGGGTGTGGCCGCCCCTCCGTGCCGCCCCCCCGCCCCTCCCTGACTTTGGGGGCTGGGGCACCCCGGGGTCGACCCTCTTCCCGGGGGTCGCACTGGCCGCCAGGGGGCGCTGCCGAGCCCGCACCCCATTGTTTGTAAACAAACCCGCCAGACCGCCGAGGCACCTGTGCGCCCAGACCAGGCGCCCCAACGCCGAGCCGCCTCCCTCCCCGCGACCCCAGCCCAGGGTCCCTCGTGGGGTTTGTGGGGAGGCGCAGTGTGGGGAGGCAGGGCGCCCGCACTGCTCGCCGCCTGCACTCCTGTCACCTCCTCCAGGGAGCCCACCCGGCCTGGCCGATCGCCGCCGGCGAGGGATTCAGGGCGCGCACACTCACCCCGGGGGCATGAACACGCCGGAGGGGGCGGCGGTGGAGGGCGGGCGGCTTCCTTCAGGAGGGCGCGCCCGCCGAGCGCCGCTCTCCGCGGCGGCTGCTGCTGTGGCTGTCGCTGCTGCTGCCGCTCTGACTGCAGTGGCGGCTGCTGTGGCTGTGTCTGCTGCTGCTCCCCGGGCCGCAGGCGCGTCCGCGTCGTGGCCGCCGCTGCTGGGATCACTGGTGCCGCCGCCGCCGCCAGGCACTCGCTCGCATGTGGCTCGCGCCGCGTCTCAGGCCGCCCGGCGGATCCCGGGCCCGCTCCGAAGCTGCCCCGCCCCGCCCCGCCCCGCCCCCGCCCGGCGGGTCCCACGCCCCGCCCCCGCGTGACGCCACAGCCCCGCCCGCCGGCTTGCCAGGACAAGTCGGGGCTTGCAGGCGCGCGCCGCGCCCCCCCCCCACCTCCGCGCGGGGGGTTTCCCTGCAGCCGGGGACGGGGCAGGGCCTGGCCCGGGACGAGGAGGACCCAGGCGCGGTGCGGCGGGGTACGAGTTATCGCTCAGACACCGGGACAGTCGGACCCACAGAGTGGGACCCGCACATCCACAACCCCAGGGATGCATACACAGACCGACCGAAGGGCGCTCCAGGGTACACAAAGTCACGTGCAGGCAGAGCCCTAGGGGTGCACTCACAGAGACAAGGCCACAGTGTCACCAATGCACACCATGGACAGGGGCATGAACACACACACACTGCTGGGGCGCACACTTGCACACACCCAGAGCAAATGCATAGACTCACTAACAGGGTCCCCAGGACAAGCCGATGGACACAATGACAGAGCCACACACAGTGGCACAAACACCCTCACTGATAATAACACCCGGACCCACAAACTGTTCACATACATCCCTACAGAACAGGCACCCACAGTGAACACACAGTGGAGCAACCACACAGACACAGGCGGAGTGCTTATCAGGTAACACACACCTCCTGACAGGCACAGAGGGCACACACACACAGAGACCCCCTTACAGGGATACCTGGACACACGGCCAAATCCAAACCACACTCCAACAGGGACACACACAGATGTACTCACGCAGTTTCACAGCTACACGTGAAAACGATCAGAAACCGACATTCGGAGACACAGACCACAGAGGAAACTGACACCCCCGGCACATGTCACGAAGCCACACCTGTGACAGCTTCTTGCTAACTGGCCCACTGACTGCACACACTCCAGAGCATCCACACCTGGCCTCAGTCACCACACATCTGGCAGGGGGACCCACACCGAGGAAGAAGCCCTGGGCACTTGGCATGGACATGCCCAGGCAGACCCCACGCCACATTTCATCTTTCTGTTCCCTTCCCGTTTTCAGTTTCTCATTGTCACTTCCCTGACCGGCCCTGGGGTCCTTCCTTCTTCCAAAGCCCTGGACTCCTTCTCCTCTTCTGCACTTTCCTTCCCAACTGACTCTCATCCAATCCCAATCACCTCACCAGAGTGACTCACCTTCCAGTGCCTAGTGTGGGGCTGGCTGACCAAGAACGTCAGACTTCTCACACTTGACTGCTTCAGAGCCCACACCCTTACATTCCCCAAGAGAAGCAGGTAATCCACGTCTCACATGAATCTCACCGTTTTAGTTTTAAATACTGGGGACTCTTCAGCCTTCCTCTCTCTTGCCCTTTCCACAATTATTCATTCTCCCTTCCTTCTTCCTGGTATTTTTCCAAGCTGTGGGTCAGGAGTAAACCATGGATTATGGTATCACTTTGGATCTTACTTTTTTTTTCTTTTTGAGACTTAGTCTCGCTCTGTCACCCAAGCTGGAGTGCAGTGGCTCGATCTCGGCTCACTGCAATCTCCACCTCCTGGGTTCAAGCAATTCTCCTGCCTCAGCCTCCCGAGTAGCTGGGACCACAGGCATGTGCCACCATGTCCGGCTATTTTTTTGTATGTTTAGTAGAGACAGGGTTTCACCATGTTGGCCAGGATGGTCTCGATCTCTTGACCTAGTGATCCACCCACCTCAGCCTCCCAAAGTGCTGGGATTACAGGCTTGAGCCACTGCGCCTGGCCTTCTTTTTTTTTTTTTTTTTTGAGACAGAGTCTCGCTCTGTCCCCCAGGCTGGAGTTCAGTGGCGTGCTCTTGGCTCACTGCAACCTCCGCCTCCCAGGTTCAAGTGATTCTCCTGCTCAACCTCCCAAGTAGCTGGGATTACAGGTGTGAGCCACCATGCCCAGCTAATTTTTGTATTTTTAAGTAGAGATGGGGTTTCACCATGTTGGTCAGGCTGGTCTCGAACCCGTGACCTCGTGATCCACCTGCCTCAGCCTCCCAAAGTGCTGGGATTATAGGCATGAGGCACTGAGGCTGGCCAATTTTTGTGTTTTCAGTGAAGACGGGCTTTCACCATATTGGTCATGCTGATCTCCAACTCCTGACCTCAGGTGATCCACCCGCCTCAGCCTCCCAAAGTGCTGGGATTACAGGCGAGAGCCACCTCACCAAGCTTTTTTTTTTTTTTAAGAGGGAATCTTACTCTATCGCCGAGGCTGGCCAGGCTGGAGTGCAATGGCACGATCTCAGCTCACTGCAACCTCCACCTCCCGGGTTCAAGCGATTCTCCTGCCTCAGCCTCCTGAGTAGCTGGGCTTACAGGTGCATGCCACCACGCCCAGCTAATTATTTTTGTATTTTTAGTAGAGTCTAAAATTGATCAGGCTAGTCTCAAACTCCCGACCTTGTGATTCACCTGCCTTGGCCTCCCAAAGTGCTGGGATTATGGGTGTAAGCCACCGCACCTGGCTTTTTTTTTTTTTTTTTTTTTTTTTTGAGAGGGAGTCTTGCTCTGTCGCCAAGCTGGAGAGGTCTTGCTCTGTCGCCAAGCTGGAGTGCAGTGGTACAATCTCAGCTCACTGCAACCTCTGCCACCTGGGTTCAAGTGAGTCTTCTGCTTCAGGCTCTCAAGTAGCTGGGATTACAGGCTCGAGCCACCACGCCTGGCTAATTTTTGTATTGTTAGTAGAGAGAGGATTTCACCATGTTCGTCAGGATGGTCTTGATCTGACCTGGTGATCTGCCCACCTTGGCTTTCCAAAGTATTGGGATTACAGGCGTGAGCCACGGTGCCTGGCTGCTATTTTTTTTTTTTTTTTTTTGTAGATATGGGCAGTCTCGCTATGTTGCCCAGGCTAGTCCTGACCTTACCAGGTTAAGCAAACCTCCTGCCTTGACCTCTCTCAGTGCTGGGATTACAGGTGTGAGCCCCCATGCCTGGCTGATCTTACTGTGTTTTATTCAATAAGATGCATTCACATCTGACCAACTGGCGCTTTATTGAGATATATTTACAAGAACAATCACTCTTTATAAATATATCATTTGCAAGTGTTGATAAAAATACACAATTTCATACTACGGCAACTGCTCCCTGAAACTTTACTGGCCCTAGACAAGACATTTTGTTGTTTTAATTAAGACAGAATCTGGGCCGGGCGCGGTGGCTCACGCCTGTAATCCCAGCACTTTGGGAGGCCAAGGCTGGCGGATCACGAGGTCAAGGGATGGAGACCATCCTGGCCATGGTGAAACCCCGTCTCTACTAAAAATACAAAAATTAGCCGGGCATGGTGGCACACGCCTGTGGTCCCAGCTACTCGGGAGGCTGAGGCGGAAGAATCGCTTGAATCCAGGTGGAGGTTGCGGTGAGCCGCCACTGCACTCCAGCCTGGTGACAGAGTAAGACTCCGTCTCAAAAAAACAACAACAACAACAAAACAGAATCTGGCTGTGTTGCCCAGGCTGGTTTCAAACTCCTGGCTCAATTGATCCTCCCACCTCAGCCTCCTTGGAGCTGGGTTTATAGGCATGAATGACTGCTTTGACCAGAGTTTTAAGAAAATGACAGGCTTGGTGCGGTGGCTCAAGCCTGTAATCCCAGCACTTTGGGAGGCCAGCATGGCTGGATCACTTGATGTCAGGAGTTCGATGCCAGCCTGGCTAACATGGTGACACCTGGTCTCTACTAAAAATATAAAAGTTAGCCAAAAGTTGGTGGCACGTGCCTGTAGTCCCAGCTACTCAGGAGGCTGAGGCAGGAGAATCGCTTGAACTCAGGAGGCAGAGGTTGCAGTGAGCAGAGATCCTGCCACTGCACTCCAACCTGGGTGACAGAGCAAGACTCTGTCTCAAAAAAACAAAATCGAAAAAAAAAAAAAAAATCGGCCTGGTAGTGGTAGCTCACGCCTATAATCCCAGCACTTTGGGAGGCCAAGGTGGGTGGACCATGAGGTCAAAGATCGAGACCATCCTGGTCAACATGGTGAAACCCCGTCTCTACTAAAAATACAAAAAAAGTAGCTGGGCATGGTGGCACGTGCCTGTAGTCCCAGCTACTCAGGAGGCTGAGGCAGGAGAATTGCTTGAACCCAGAAGGCAGAGTTTGCGGTGAGCCGAGATCACGCCATTGGACTCCAGTCTGGGTAAAAACAGCGAAACTCCATCTCAAAAAAAAAAAAAAAACCAAAAAAATCAACTACAAAATATAATTTTGAGGCCAGGTGTGGTGGCTCATGCCTGTAATCCTAGCACTTTGGGAGGCTGAGGCAGGCGGATCACCTGAGGTCAGGAGTTCAAGACCAGCCTGGTCAAGATGGTGAAACCCTGTCTCTACTAAAATACAAAAATTAGCCAGACATTACGGGTGCCTGTAGTCCCAGCTACTCAGGAGGCTGAGGCGGGAGAATTGCCTGAACCTGGAAGACAGTGGTGGCAGTGAGCTGAGACTGTGCCACTGCCCTCCAGCCTGGGCGGCTGAGTGAGACTCTGTCTCAAAAAACAAAACAAAACAAAACATAATTTTGAAAAATTATGAAGTCAAGGGAAAGTAGTGTTTTGTGAAAATGTTACTGATGTATAGCGAATACATATTAGGTTACAAGAAAGTAGATTTCTGGCTGTAGATCAAGTTCAAAGACATTTGAGAAATGCTGCTCTTTAGACACGCATTAAATGAGATCACGCTGGAAGTCATTTAGTGCAGTATCGGACATACAGTAAGTGCCTAATAAGTGTTAGCCTGATAGTGATAAAGGTGGGAAGGGGCAGTCTCTAGACCTCTGTGAGCTCATGGTCCCGCCTGTCCCTCTCACCTCTCATTCACTGATCAGTGTCCAGGCTGCCCATTGCAGGGCAGATACCAGGAGGTCAGATGGACTGGAATGTTCTTTTTTTCTTCTTCTTCTTCCTTTTTTCTGAGACAGAGTCTCACTCTGTAGCCCAGGATGGAATGCGGTGGCGCGATCTCGCTCACTGCAGCCTCCACCTCCCGGGTTCGAATAGATTCTCCTGCCCCAGTCCCTTGAATAGCTGGGATTACAGGCGCCTGCCACCATGCCTGGCTAATTTTTTTTGGTATTTTTAGTAGAGCCAGGGTTTCACCATGTCGGCCAGGCTGGTCTCGAACTCCTGACCTCAGGTTGTCTACCTGCCTCAGCCTCCCAACATGCTGGGATTACAGGTGTGAGCCACTGTGCTCGGCAAATGTTCTTTTCTCCCTCTCTTTCTTTTTTTTTCTTTTGGAGACAGAGGCTTACTCTGTCACCTATGCTGGAGTGCAGTAGGGCAATCTCCACTCACTGACACTGCAGCCTCCTGGTGTCAAGTAATTCTTGTGTCTCAGCCTCCTGAGTAGGTGGGTGCCACCATGCTTGACACACACACACACACACACACACACACACACACACATATATATATATTTTTTTTTGAGACAGAGTTTCGCTCTTGTTACCCAGGCTAGAGTGCAATGGCATGATATCAGCTCACTGCAACCTCCACATCCTGGGTTCAGGCAATTCTCCTGCCTCAGCCTCCTGAGTAGCTGGGACTACAGGTGCGTGTCACCATGCCCAGCTAATTTTTCTATTTAAAATAGAAACATGGTTTCACCATGTTGACCAGGATGGTCTCGATCTCTTGACCTTGTGATCCACCCACCTGGGCCTCCCAAAGTGCTGGGATTATAGGCGTGAGCCACCGCGCCCGGTCTTGACACATATTTTTTGTATTTTTTAGTAGAGATGGGGGTTTCACTATGTGGGCCAGGCTGGTCTTGAACTCCCAACCTCAGGTGATCTGCCTGCCTTGGCCTCCCAAAGTGCTGGAATTACAGGCATGAGCCACTGGGCCCAGCCTGGAATGTTCTTTTGAGAAGAAATGAGGGTTAGAAGGACAGTGGGAATCTGGCTGGGTGACTGGAGGTGGAAAAGACCGGGAGAGGCCAAGAATCTTTTTGTCGGCTATAAGCATTGTCACTAGTCAAGATCCTCCCACAGCTGGGCGTGGTGGCTGACACTTGTAATCCCAGTATTATGGAAGGCCCAGGTGGGCAGATCGCCTGAGCCCAAAAGTTCCAGACCAGGCAGGGGAGCATGCCAAAACCTACCTGGGAGGCTGAGGTGGGAAGAACACTTGAACCTGTGAGGTAAAGGCTGCGGTGGGCTGTGATTGCACAATTGCACTCCAGCCTGGGCAACAGAAGGAGACCCTGTCTCAAAATCAAAATACTGGCTTGGCCAACATGGTAAAACCCATCTCTACTAAAAATACAAAAAATTAGCTGTGGTGTGGTGGCGCATGCCCATCATCCCAGCTACTCAGGAGGCTGAGGCAGGAGAATCTCTTGAGCCCAGCAGGTGGAGGTTGCAGTGAGCCGGGATCACGCCACTGCACTGCAGCCTGGTGACAGTGAGACTCCATCTCAAAAATAAAAACCAGGCTGGGCGTGGTGGCTCAAGCCTGTAATCCCAGCACTTTGGGAGGCCGAGGCGGGTGGATCACGAGGTCAAGAGATCGAGACCATCTTGGTCAACATGGTGAAACCCCGTCTCTACTAAAAATACAAAAAAAGTAGCTGGGCATGGTGGCGCGTGCCTGTAAT